GCTGTGGTTTTTAAAAGCCAAGAACGGCGGGACGTTCTTTTCCCTCGTGTTGGTGGGTCTGTCAAGACGTCACGCTGCCCAGACCCTAACTGGTCGTCATCTTGCAAAGAGAGATAAAGGTGGAGAGAGAGAGCGCTGAGTTGAGAACACGCTTTGTATTTCTGCATTTAGCGCTGGGTTTTCTCAAGCTGCCTAATTATTTGTCTGATTTCTCCCCGTTCATGTGAGTGCAGGACATACTGGTGTCCAGCGTCTTAGGGACCCCTCCCTGCAGGGAATGCGAAGCTGGCCATTTCTTTTCTCCAAACACCGCTTATTGGAAATGAATTAAGAAATCGGAACGGGGTCCTGCCCTCCTCCTTCCCCTGGAGGAGAGAGGGGAAGAAATTACCGGATATAATTGCCTCCTGGAAATAGGAAAAGCTCTTAGCTAATAAGAATCATGTGCAGGTGGCTGAACTCACTGGCTTTCGGTATTTTTGCTGGGCGTGCAAGGGGACGCGTGCGTGGCCTTCGCTGTCATTTTGGAAAAATGACTACCCGTCGTCCTGTTTGGCGGCATCTGCCTTATCCCAATGACTGATCGCATTTGTTTTGTGGATTGATTCCAGGAAAAATAAACACCCAGTCATGCCTAGGTAGGAAAAAGGGTCTGTGGACATGATTTTTATTTTTATATTTTTTTATTGTTTTTCATTTTTAAAAATGAATTAATTTATTTATTTTGTTGATTTCCGTATTAAGGAATTAAAATGTGGAGATGAGCTCACCCATAGACTATTTTCAGAAATACTTTCGCAGACCTGGCCGGTTTGGCTCAGTGGTTAGAGCGGCGGCCTGAGGACCCAAGGGTCTCAGGTTTGATCCCGGTCAAGGGCAGGTACCTGGGTTGCAGTGTCCAACCCAGGCCCTTGGTGGGGGTTGTGCAGGAGGCACCCAATTGATGTGAGGCGCATCGATGTTTCTCTCTCTCTCCGCGCCCCTCCCTTGCACTCTATCTAAAAATCAATGGGAAAATATCCTCGGGTGAGGATTAACAATAACATCAACAAAAGGAATAACTTCCGCACACTTGCCCAGGAAGCAGGAGTGGACATCCACTTCCACGGAGCATCTCGGAGGCGCGCAGACACAGGCCGGTGGAGGTGGACACGGACACGCCCCCTTCTGCAATGCTCCAGCTGGACTGGGGCCCGTTGCCCAGTGTTGCTCCTCTTCCGAAGCTGTGTCCCCCTAGTTGGGGGCTGAGGGTCCTGAAGAGTTTATTGAAGACGATCAGCGAGCCCGTGATGTGTCTAAACACTGGCTGCCCTAGCTTGCGGGTTTCTGCAGGTCCCCCACGTCACTCATCCTGAAATGGTAACCGGTTTGCTCTTTGCGTTTGGGGCGTCGAGTCCCCACTGTGTAACTGAAGCAATGCTGCAGCCAGGTTTCGGAGTTCAGGGTTCATTCAGGTGTCCGTGCCCATGTCGGCAGAGATGCATGGGTAGGGTTGCACACCAAGTTCAAGAGAGTCTTCCGGCCCTGGCTGGTTTGGCTCAGCGGTTAGAGCATCTGCCCACGGACCAAAGAGTCATGGGTTTGATTCTGGTCAAGGGCATGCACCTCGGTCCCCAGCCCTGGTTGGGGTGGTGCAGGGGGCATCCAGTCGATGTGTCTCTCTCACGTGGATGTTCCTCTCTCTCTCTCTCCCTCCCACTCTATCTGATGATAAATGGAAAATATCCTCAGGTGAGGATTTAAAAACAACAACAAACACTAAAAAAACCAAAGAGCCTTCCAGATGTGCTGCGTTCAGTGTGCAAGGTGGAGGGACGGAGCCCAGCCAGCTGTTGCTGAGCTTGTTCATGGGCCTCCCCAAGCCTGCACCTGCCCCCCCTTTTATTCTTGGTGCCTGGTGTCCCCCACCCCAGCCTCTGAGGGGCCCCTGCTTGTCTTGAACCCCCCCATTTTTCTCGTTTAAAATCAGATTTGCTTTTCTCAACACAAATGTGTATCTCTGCTTTCCCTCCGGTTGTTTATGACTTTCATCGTTGTTCTCATTTTCTAAATAATTTTGAATAGAAATCGCTCGTCCTGTTGTCTGAATGATTGTGTTTTGAAGGCTTTCTGAACTTTGGCACTGAAACAGAACATGGGTTGCGCATAAACCCCTCAAAAATCAATTTATAAACCCTCCAAACACACACACACAAATACACACACACGCACACGCACAGGCACACGCACAGGCATACCACCTGAAGATGAAATCTGGCTTTTCACCCCTGCCTCCCTGGGGGAGGGTTGAGGCCACCAGATTGCCCCGTGGTTCCGGGCTTGATTGAGCCAGTATAGGGCGTATTACCCAGAGAGAGCCAACCTAGTTCACAACGATGCACGTAACTCCCGGAGGCCAGGCGGGGGATGGGGAGAGGACTTCCACTTTGCCCAGATTGTCATCTGAACACTGGCAAGCTCACTGGAGAATATCATTTTTAAAAGTTAGAGACACCTGTGCCTTTATCTCGCTTGTAATCTATGCGTGCTGACGCCCACGGGTCTATAAAGGAGGGCGATAGGTCAACAATCTGCATAGAAATATTCTACTTTGTATAAAATACCTTAGTTCACAAAGTACCTATAGCGTGTCTTGTCCTCGGCTTGTGTGATACGTGTGGGGTATGTCACACATATACACGCGTGTTCCCTAAGGGAGGCCCTAGCGGCCTCTGCATTGACTGAAATGTCAGGAGTGAAGGCCACAGCCCGCAGCATAAATGGGCCTTTCAAGTCCTCCGTAGGAAAGGGAGCTTCCTGGGGTCAAACGGGGGGCACAGCTGGGGAGTCCGGGGGGCAGGGAGCACCAGCTTGTCTATTTGTCTAAACGAGATGACTTTAGAAGTTTAGTTTCATTCCTCGGTAGTCAAAGGGATGCAGGGCGGTCAGCTTTCGCCCGCCCGCCCCAGACCTGTGGTGGGGTGTCTGCCTCGTGGGGGGCCCTGGCCACCCAGGGAGCCTCTGGACCACGGGGGCACTGGTGCCTAGTTTTTCGAGTCACCGTGAAGGAAACGGGATTTCAGACTATCTTCACGATGGCTCTTTGTACAGTGAGGGGCGACCGCGAAGGATCCAACGTGATGGGCGCGGCATCGTTTAGATTAGCACTGCCCCTGGGCTCAGAGCTGGGGGCCTGAGGACGGGACCCGGAGGTGTCCTGCCCCGGAGCTGTAGTCACCGGCAGACACTGTTCCTCCAGGTGACGGAGACAGAGGGCGCAGGAGGGTTCAGGACCAGGCGGGGTCTCTGGGGTCTCTGGGCAGCGGGGCCAGGAGATGGCCTTGGGCTCGGACCCAGCAAAGGCTGGGAGCCGGCAGCTGGGGCTTTACCTGTTTCCTCATAGCAGTAGCCCTAGGGCTCTGAGGGGCAGGGAGCCGCGCTGGGCCCCGGGAGAGGAGGGTGCTGTGCCCAGCTGGCCCTGCATGAAGGAGCAGGGTCCCGGCAGGTGCCCTCCCCCTCCTGTCCCCTCCTCCGGAGTTTGGGGTCCTAGTCCTGGCGGGCCCTTAGGGCTGGGCAGAAAACCCCAGGTTGAAGGACGCACACAGGAGGCAGGGGGCCTTGCAGGGAGGGTGGGGTGGGGTGGGGGAGACTGAGAGCGCCCAGAGTCTCCGCAGGGACAAAGGCTCAGATTCCGGCCGGCGGGAGGGAGAAACCCCAGCGCCTGCGGCCTGGAGCGCCCGCTGAGCGGAGGCCAGGCCGCGTCCCCCCACACGAGGGCGCTGCAGCAGGCTCCATCGCAGCCAGAGAAAGACGGAGCCCTGACCCGAGCGCCCGGACGGGTCCCTGCTCTCCTCTCCTGCCCACCCAGGGCGGGGGCGGGACAAGCTCCGGAAAAGTTGCTGTCATACCACTGCTTCGGCCTCTGCCTGTATTTATGGAAAACGGAGACGGGCTGGGGACGTACACAGATTGGGGACGTGTAGGGGGGAGCTTGAACCCGGTTGTTCTGGGGGCTCCAGAAGGGCCCCCCCATCCCTGCCTTCTCTGACCTTCCCTTCCCTTCCTTTGGAGGCTGGGTGAAGGGAAATGGGTGATTTTCCAAGCGGAGCCAGGTTAGGGAAGGAAAGAGGGCGCTTGGAAAGCCGACTGGGAGCTCCCTCCCTCCAAGCCCTACAGTGCGCCCCCCTCACCCCACGCGCCCCAGGGGCCCTGGCTGTTGCCATTTCAAGTTAGGGGCGCGCGCAGGAGGGAGTCGAGGCTGCTGCCGCCAGGGACGCAGATGTGGGGAAGCAGGCTGTGCTGCTTGGGGCAGAGGACAGGCGCCCCAGCGTGCTGCCCCCCTTCCCGTCCCCTTACACCCTCCTCGCCATCCGCCCTCCTCAGGCGCTCCGTCCCCGCGCTGTGCAGTGCCACCCGGTGGGGCCCAGCACCCAGAGCTCCCAGCAGGCACCCATGACCTGCGAGCTTCCCCTGCCCCCACCGCGCCCCATATACCCCAGGAGCCCGCTCCTCCTCGCCACCAGCCCCCCGCCACCCAGGCGCCATTACCCAGCGGGTGGCAGGCCTCGCGTGGGGAGGAGGAGCCGCGTAGGGGCCGGGCAGGAGCGCGGAGATGCGCTCCGAGGTTCGCTGCTCTGTAGGTGGTGCCCGTGCCGGGGCCTAGGCATTTCCCTCCCTTTATCTTGTTTTGTATTTTCCTTCCTTGAGTGGCTTTGGATAGGCCCTCCGTGGTGGCCGAAGGGAGGAGTTGAAAAAACAGAACAGGAAAGAGAAAGAGAAAGAGAACACGCCCCCAGACCCTGGCCTCCCGGAGCGCCAGGGAGGGGGCGGAGGCGGCTGAGCCTGGCGGTCACCCGGCGGGGACTTGACAGTGGCGCACGGAGGAGCGCAGGCAGCCGCTGGCCTCCCTCCATCCTCATCTTCTTCTCTTTTCCCGGGAGGGGGTGGGGAGCTGGGACGAGAGGAAGAAAGCGAAATAGCAAACCGCCCCGCAGACAGCCAGCGAGAGCGCGCGGGGACCCATGGATTCGCTGTACCAGAGATTCACGGGCAGGATCAACACCTCCCGGTCCTTCCCGGCGCCCCCGGAGGCCAGCCGCCTCCTGGGCGGCCAGGGGCCCGAGGATGAGGGCACCGGGCCCAAGCCCTTGGGAGCCCAGGCGCCCACGGTGGTGCCCCGGGAGCGAGGCGGTGGCGGCGGCAGTGGTGCGGGTGGCCGACCCCGGTTCCAGTACCAGGCGCGGAGCGACTGTGACGACGAGGACGTAAGAGCATCTTGGTGGGTGGGGGGCGGCGCGGGCGTGGGGCGCAGCACAGAGCGAGAAGGGGAGCCGAGTTCGCCTGTGTCTCCGATGGTCTTCAGCCACCCGCCTTTGCTCTCCCCTCCCCCACTGCTCCTGGGAGCGCCCCCGGATTCACTCGCGAGCCGCGATCTCGGTCACTGCTGTCCTGGGCGGGTTTGCGTCTGCCGGGCTGCAGCCAGGAGTTGGTGGATGGGAAGAGCAGTGTTTGGGGGGCTGCGCCCCGGCACGAGGATCTGGCTGCCCGGTCTGGGCTGTGTGGAGGTCTGTTGTTGATGGCGCGGGGCGGTGGATCCCAAGCAGGGAGTTCCGTCTGGCTGTGCTGACAAGTAGGTTGTTCTGTCCGCTTCTGCTGTAAGACAGGGAGGTAATGCCCCGCTCTTTGCCTCCCCTCCCGCCTGTCACTGGAACCCACTCCTCCTGCTCCCCTCCCCTCCACGGTGTCCCCTCACTCTGTGCCCTACATCTCACTTCCACACACTCCCCCGCTGGTCCTGGCCATTTGCTTTAACAACAGCAGCAAAAAATCAACATAAAAAAAATAAAGAAAGGAAAGCACTAGCTTCCGAGGCCCGACCACCTGTGTCAGGGCCGAGCCCGGGTTTCCGGAGGGCGCGAGCCTGCCTGTGCCCTGCGCCCGGCCTTGCGGGCAGCTGTGCCTGAGACTCTGGCCGAAAACTTCTCCAGAAGCAGGTGCCCCGATCTCAGGGCCGAAGCCCTGGTTTCAAAGGTCACATTTGCGTATCACGTGGGGACTGGCGCTCAGGAGGGACACCTGGGGCTGAGGGGGAGATGGCCGTGGGCAGCCTGTCTGTGGGTCCCGTCCAGCTCCTTGGAGGGCCCCAGCCAGGGGGGACCACAGAGACAGGAAACTGCCCCTTTTAGCGACCTCTCTTCCCAGAGCAAAATGAAAAACCCCGGGCAAGTTGTCAGACAGGCAGCGGCTTTGTGTGGCTGCTGTGGCCCCTGGAAGTGTGCAGGGCGTGTCGGGTTGTGGAAGCCACCTTGCTGCCACTGAGACAGTCCCACCTGGGCACCGGTCCCCCACATGCCTCTCAGCCTCCCCTGACACACCCGGAGCCGGACAGGCCCCCGCGTGGTGGTCCTTAAACGTGCTCTTACGTGGGTCCTGCCGTGGTGGTCCTTAAACGTGCCCTTACGTGGGTCCTGCCACGTTGCCATTCGGCATTTCTTGTATAGTACAAGGCGTGTGCATGGGCAGGGCGGGGGTACATGCTTTTGCTGGGACAATTCTGGAAAAAAAGAAAAAAACCACTGAGGTTTCATTGCTGTTGGTCCCTTTTGTTTTGTTTTATGAATAGAGGACCCGGAGACTGTGATAGAGATGATGAAAGTTTGTGGAAGATGGAGATGTGGTTTGCACACACACACACACACACACACACACGCATGCACACACGCACAACTGTATCAGATCTTGCATGAAGTTCTTCTATTTTCTTTGGGATCCCTTGCGGACACCCCTGGTTACAGAGGGAACTGTCAGAGAGAGGACCCTCCCTTCCATGGTCAGGGCCCCAGGGAAATGCAGGAATTCTTCACACATCTGGAAGTCTGTAAGGACCGCTTCTGTTGGGGTTGGGGGAACATTCCAGGGGATTAAACTACTGAGGATCTTGGGAAAGACAATTGAGCTGCAATGCAGACAAGAATGATGCCTTTTTTTTGCCTTAAACCCAACTTAACACCATGGAATTGTGTGGTTTGGAGTGAGGGCGACTGTGCGTTCTCCTCGGCGGACTCTAGGTGTCGCTAGGAGAAAGGTGGGTGAGAGGTTGGGGTTTTGTCTCACATGGTCTCCACCTTATTTTCTTTCTCTTAGTCTGGAGCGTGTACTTCTTCTGTTCCGTTTCACATCTGCCTAGGACTGTTTCTCAGATAAGCAAAGGGAACACACTGGCAGTTTAACAATTTGCCAATGATTGCTACGGATAGGGCTCTGAACAGCACATCCAACCTAATTCCATTAAGTCCAGACATCCATGTTTTCCCTGGAAATCACAGAGGTGGTGTGTGTGTGTGTGTGTGTGTGTGTGTGTGTGATGTAGCTTTAAATATAGTGTATGTATACGTAGTATCCTACGAAATATATGTAAACGTAGTAAAAATGTGTGAATGAACCAATGTCACAAGGCTAATGTACCACCAGTTTCTTAAAACGTTGATGTGGTTTTTCTCAGAAAAGTTCTTCAGGGTTGGAAAAGTTATGTCTAAAAATTTACTCGGCGGTAGGTGTACATTTAATCACCTTTTCTCCACCAATAGGGCGTGATTAGCTAAAGATTAGAGGTACGAGTTAAAGAAACACAGGAGCTATAAATACTGCTTTTCTGATACCGGCCTTCGTCAAGATAAAGAATCTTGAGTAGTCATTTCACTGGTCACATCAATTTACTCAAAATTTTTTCCTTTATTGATTTTAGAGGGAGAGGAAGGGAGAGGGAGAGAGAGATGGACACATCGGTGAGAGAGAACATCGATTGGCCGCCTCCTGCACGCCCCCCACTGGGGATCGGGCCCACAACCTGGGCATGTGCCCTGACTGGGAATCGAACTGGTGGCCTCTTGGTGTAAGGTCAACACTCAGCCAGAGAGCCACAGTGGCTGGGCTTACTGCCCACATTTCGACCCAAAGATTGACATCTAATTTAGGAACATATTGTCCTTCTGTGTATGCATTGGCGAACCCTCGCTCAGGTGGGAGCTGTCCGAGGTGCTGACGCGCTCTCTGCCTTTGGGCAAGGCAGTCTCTAGCCTCCCAAGGCGGAGGCTGGTGGCTTTATGGCACTTCTGCGACTTGTCAGTCAGATGTTCACGGCACAGAAACAGCTTTCCTTCCTGACCCGCCGAGAGGATGGTAACCGTCACACCTTTAGAATCCGGGGTGCTGTTTTCCCTCCCGTCCTTCCTTCCAGAAAGGGGATCTGAAATCGGAGTTCTTGAGCTGTGTGTGTGCGTACATGTGTGTGCGGACATGTACAAGCCTGAAGATGACCGAGAACGGGTGTTCCCCGCCGACATAAAATGTCAGGTCGTCACAAGGTCTAGCAGAGGGAAGCCACATGCTGAGGTTGCACGGCAGGGACTTAACTAGCAAGGTGTTGCTTTTCTGCGCAAACTACACTTGTTAGGGACCTGTGCCTGGGGAGCACCGCAGGAAGCCTGTTGGGTGGGTTCGTTCTAAGATGTCCAGTTTGACTTTGACATGGACATAGAGCCAGCGTGCCCTCTGTCGCGTTTCCTCGTCAGCCTTCGGTTTATTTAAATACAAAGTCAGTTACTTGAGCAACCCCTCGGAGGCGTCCAGAGCTACTTTGATTTAAAATTCATCTCGTAGGTTTAAAGATAAGTTGGCGCCTAAAGGAAACTGTTGCCGGAAGGGACTTTTAATGGAATTTGGTCACTTCGGGAGGAATGAACTGTGACTGATGTTAAAATACTGAACTTTGATCAGCCCGTGGACCAAAGAGTCTGGGATTTGATTCCGGTCAAGGGCATGTGCCTTGGTCAAGGGCACGCACCTTGGCTGCAGTTCAATACCCGGCCCTGGTCAGGGTCCTACGGGAGGGAACCGATCAATGTGTCCCTCTCACCTGGATGTCTCTTTCCTTCCCTCTCTACCACTCTATCTGAAAATCAATGGAAAAATATCCCCAGGTGAGGATTAAATAATAAGTAAAATACCGAACTTTGTCATGCCCCTTTCTCGAACATTTCTTCTTTAAATTTTTTAAAATTAAGATATGGTTGCCGCACCGTATTGTATTTGTTTCTGGCGTATGTATTTTAAAAATTTTTTTTTAAAGGACGTTGGAGGCGCTGGCTCCTGGCAGGGCCAAAGTGCTTTCGAGGTCACACCAGCGTGTTCCTGCAGCCTTCATCTGTGGTGACACGTGATTTCCTAACCATGCAAATGTGATGACAACAGAATTTTAAACAGCACAATTGGATTGAGCAGGAAGCCCTGCTTGTGATGTCTGTGGGCCCGATGGGGCCATTTCCCTGGCCGTGCAGCAACCAGCCAGCCTGCCTCCCTCCTCTGCACCCTGCTTTGCCCTTGGTCTGAAGGCAGCGTCCTAATCACTTCTCCGTGGGATTGACCGACTTTGCGTCTCTGAGGCAGCCTGGCTCCGCACATCTGTCCCTGTGCCTTATTCGTTTTTCTTGTCTGGTTTTCATTGTTACTGTCACATCTTTAATTTCACCCTGTTTTCCTAACATCTGAGGAAAAGACTAAAACGTCCCACCACCTGCGTGATCCCGTGACCCCACCACTCATTTGGCCGTACTCAGGGTGTTCGCTACAGAACGGCGAAGGGGGGCGCAGCGCTGTCGGGACGTCGCCCTGCAAGCCCAACAGCCCCTCCTCATGGTCCCCACACAGCGGGTCCGGGACGTGGGCTCGGTGGGTACGTGTTGCTGCGTCAGTGATAATGGTACCGGGTCTTCCTTTCTCCCCCACTTCTGTCTAAACAGAAACAGAGACCATCTCCATCGGTCTCAACTGCTCCCTCTGGCTGCGGTCTTGTTTTTCTTTCTTCTTCGACTCTTCTCCACAACCAACTCCACTCACCCGGGCCCCGCGACCCTCCGCCCCTCATGTGTCTGGGCGGCAGACTTGCGTTCTTACTGTCTCCCCTGCAGAAGCTGCCCACAAAAGGGCGTCAGTGTCTTTTTAAAATTTTAATGTAATTTCCCCCATCACCGTGTGTGCCCTCCATGCCCTCTTCCACCTGCACCCACCCCCTCACCCCAAAATCACCGCAGTGTCCGTCCTCCCAATTCCCTCGTGGAATGGCCTGCTGCTTCGTCTTTGGTCCTGGCTTGTCTTTGCTTTCGAAGATTGTCTCCCTACACTTCAGGTCTTGGCTCTCTCTCTCTGAATGTGGCCTCCGATTCTTAGGTAAATCATTTCCTCTTCCGACCCTTAGTGGGGGTGGGGG